TGCAAAATGATTGACAGTCAGTCTGAACGTAATAACTGATGTGGCTGAGTTAACTTCAGCAAATGTCGTACCTTGACCGGCGCATAACACTCGTTATTCGGGCTGTGCTTTAATTTACGCTGCTGTTCATGCACGAAGTCGGTGCCAAATGAACCTTCACTCCATTGTGCCAAGTTTCTGCCGGTCAGCCAATAGATACGGCCAGGCCACTGTCGCGTGCATATGAGAAGGCAGGAAGGTAGTTAGGCCAATTCCGCTGTCGGTTGGACGTGGATATGTAGTAGATATTTTATTTCACAAATCGTTGACCAAAATAGTGAGGTGCGTTTTCAGTTGGGCAGAATTACTTGGGTGCGGCGGCCATTTATCCATATTCTGGGAAGGTAAACAAAACTGGTTAAACAAATGAACCCAACAATACGATGTAAAACATAAATTGTCACGTTTAAGAGAAAAAAACGCTGATTCCAAACCACTAGGGTTCTGCCACAGCTGCTATACACCTGCATTCGAGACTGCGACCATATTAACACGTATACTCAAATGGAGAAACAAGCTTCGTATCATTCCTTTAAAGTAGCGCAAATATCAAGTGGGTAATTCAGCAGACCATTCTTTATATTTTGTGCATAAAATAGCTATCTTTTGGATTAAAAAACCCAATTTCCTGAATCTTCCGCTATACTTCCATTCAGGATTTACAAAACACACGCTACATAATTTCCGTGATGGGAAAATAAAACCTTTATATTTGCTGTTAATATCGGGCTCGTATAATTTTGCAGTCGATATAGAAAGATACAACAAAGACAGACTATTGTAAGTGAAAGTGTTATGCCCGGGTGTTAAGTCAGAAGAAGGAAGAACGTTCACCGGAAGGGGTTTATTAGAGATCTTACGTTTCGGATGGTTGTGACCTCACAATTAAGTCAGATGAGAGAATGGTGTCATTTCACTCTTTCCGTCCATGCTCCAGGCCTTTGCTGTCGAAGCAATCCGAGACCTTCTACGTCAGAATTATGACGAGAAGAAAGGTCAACCAACAGCTCTGGACTCCATACAACTCATGGAGCACTGTCTCAAGACCTTAATATTCGAAAGGATCACATATAAGCAGATCAAAAGCACCCCAATAAGATCCAATACCTCTAGGCTCATTGCCGAGGTTGTACTGCAAAACTCGAGATACGGTTAGTCAAGGAGTAAGAATCCAAATTTTGGGCACGCTACGTTAACGACACTTTCGTCGTCATCGACCAGGACAGAATCAACCATTACAAAGACCGATTGAGCTAGATTTTGCCCGATGTACAGTTTACGACGTCAGGCTACCGTTACCCGACAAATACGTCGCAAATGTAGAGTAACAACAGCAACCATCCGCTGTAGCGCAAACAAAGTTGCATACACACGCTACACCGCGGACCGAAGGACGTTGTCCGCGGAGCAATCCGTACATGAAGAGGTTCTCCGGAACTGGCTATATTTATCGCGCATCTCGCAATAGGAGTTCCTCAAAGGCCTACCTTCACACTCCGGCAACAAGTGATGCGGCATGAGAAGTAAAATGTTGTCTACCGACTTCAGTGCAGTTGCGGGATGTGCACCTA